GCAGAGGAGGGCTCTGATTAAAATCGTAGCACGAATTGCTCAAACTTTCCAACGCATGCTTGAAATGGGGTGTAAGTTGGTACCCGGGACAGGGAGGCTGCCGTGTCCGTGGTGGCTAGATGCCGACCGTACGGCGATGTTTTCGGATGCTCAGGTTCCTTCGGAAACCCACACCCCAGCACTCCCTCCTCCTGTTCCCGGGAAGCTAGGGACTGGCACCAACACCGGAGCCCGTCCGGGCTGCCTGGGGTGCAGGATGACGCCGTGTGCGGCCAGGAAGCGATGGGGAGCTCGCAGAGCTGCAGCACGCGTAGCAGAGATGCCGACCGTACGGCGATGTTTTCGGATGCTCAGGTTCCTTCGGAAACCCACACCCCAGCACTCCCTCCTCCTGTTCCCGGGAAGCTAGGGACTGGCACCAACACCGGAGCCCGTCCGGGCTGCCTGGGGTGCAGGATGACGCCGTGTGCGGCCAGGAAGCGATGGGGAGCTCGCAGAGCTGCAGCACGCGTAGCAGAAACTACAGGGGAGGGCGAGCTGGGAGCACTCCAGCAGCACGCTGATGGAAGGCTTGTTCCACCACAAAACAGAGAACAGGGGTTTTTTTCCCCTTTTTTGCTGAAAAAAAATAAAAAGTGTGAAAAGAATAAAAGAAAAGATCGGTCTCACTGCTAGGAAGCTGCTGCAGGGGAAGGCAAGGTGAGCAGCGGTGCCGTGCCCCAGCCCAGCATGTGCCCCAGGTACCGGCACCGTGGAGGAGCCTGGCCCCATCCCTGCAGCAGCCCCCAGGCTTCGGGCAGGCTTTCTGCTCTGCCTGCACACCCTGCCTGCACCCTGCCAGCCCAGCACAGCTCCCGCTGGCTCTTGCACCAGCTTCTCCAGCACCAAAGGAAACAGCCTGGCTCCAGCTGTGCTGCGGCTCCTGCTCGTGCTGGTGAATTCCCTCCAGCCCAAACCAGGTGGATGGAAAATATTAGTGTTAGCTGAGGGGGGCCTCAAAAAGGTCCTTTGGTACTTCAAGAAAAATAATTCTCTTCCTCTGAGCTGGAATATAGCACATTGCATAGGGCGGTCCTCTTCTATTTAACCACCAGAAGAGCAAAGGAAGGGATAAAAAGGCAGGAGAAAGAGGAAGAAGTGAGAAAACAGTCTTGTGCTTCAAAATCAAGAGACAGGAACTTCAGCAAGGACATGTGACACCACTTCATTGAAGCACAAATGTCTTTTTTTTTCCCCAACAAGAAGCTGGTCCAATGTGTCAGCGAGGGTCCCAACAATGCCACTGGGACTCAGACAAGGCCCCGGTCTCCTGCAGCCATCAGTGTCGGGGCACACAGCTATCACCCAATGATCAAGGGTCAGTCCCAAAATGGCTTAAAATATTTAAGGAGCACTGGAAAATTGGAAGATGAAGAAGAAAGCAATGACTGAACACCTCAGATGGAGCCAAATGAAGCCCAGAGCTGAATGTCCTCAAATCCCAGGGAAAGCAAAGCTTCCCAAATGAGATGGGGAACAGAAATTGCCACAGAAAGATTGTGAGAAACCCACAGGATCCCAGAGATCCCTCCCCTGTTGGTTTAACTGAATTCAAATCTGTGGGTCTGACCCAGGCAGGAGGCGACGTGGCTGGGACAAAAAAAGAAAATGGTTATCAGTGTTTGAAAATAAACAGGGAGGAAAAGAAAATTATTATTAGTGTTTGCACGTAAACATGGAGGACATTGGGGTCTTTCAGATACTTCTCAGAAATCAGGACAGCCCCTGCAAACAATGTGCATGAGCAAGAAGACCCTGAGGGGAAAGGCAGCGGCCCCGGGGGGTGAGTAAGCAGCCAGTAAGCGGAGGGATGGAGCGGAGACACGAAACTGTTCCTTTAGCGAGCAGAAATCTGCGGGGCCTGGGCAGGGCCATGGTAACTGCAAAGAGAAGGGGCCACTCGGGTACGGGCACGGGGCCACTGCCACCTTCAGCGCGGCAGCAGGGTGCTGTTCCTGCTGGAGACAGAGCTGGTGCCCGCCCCGGCAGCACCAAGGGCTCCGATGGACCATCCCTAGAGATTGGTGCAGCTAAAGCCCCTGCAGATCAGGAGCTGCTGCTGCTGCTGCTCGGGGTCTCAGTAACCTGCCCACGCTCAGAGCGGCGTGGGGCAGGAGCTGGGATGTGTCTGTGCATCCCGAGTGAAACCCCAGCACAGGCACAGAATCACAGAATGGTCGGGACTGGCAGGGACCTCTGTGGGTCACCCAGTCCAACCCTCCTGCCGAAGCAGGGTCACCCAGAGCAGGCTGCACAGGGCCTTGTCCAGGCG